CCAAGATCAAGACATTGTCTGGATCATCTTTGTAGCTCTTTTCCTAGTTCACCATTTGATTCCACAAAGTGTTAAAAAGTAAATATGTGAGTCACAATGACAATGCTCTACATAAAAAAAATATTAGGGAAGGGAGTGCAATATTATCTCCCATGATATACCTGGAAGGAGAAGACCATTTGTTGCAGCAAATGTGTAAGCACAAAATCCCCGATACTGAATTAACAATTTATCAAAATTTGCTGTGGTTTCTGGGAAAAGCCATTCTAGTTTTCTGAAATCTGTTGTATGTACTCTCTCTCCTAAAATGGAAGAGGAGAACAAGAAAAGCTTATATTCAGTAAGAAGGTTAAATGTCCTAACTAAATCAGTAGTAGCTCATTATAAACATTAATTTTTTACTGGTTTGTACTTTTCCTAAGTGACCAAAACTTGATACTCACAAAACCAGATTTATGGGAAGGGCTATTCGAGCAAAGAAGTACAAATCACCTCAGTGACCGGTTGGAGGTCACACAAGTTTCTGGAGCAAAGTTGGAGGCAGAACTTTGCTCCAGAATAAAGAACATAGAGGAGAGGTCATTTCAGAAAAGTATGTTTTGCCACTGAAAGAAATGCTGGCTGAGGCACTTCTGAAAGGATATGTGGTGCTTCCTGCTGCCACAGAGTAAATAACCCAAGGAAATGAGCAGAAGAGACTGGCTACTATGTGACCAAGACTGAGATAGATGAACTTCATTCAAAATGGTGTAGTTCTTTATAATATATTAGGTGGCAAAATACGTTGCATATGATATAATACTTATATACTAGGACTATTGCTTCTTGAAACAGTAGAGAATGTTCTGAGCAAAAGTCAAGGAAATGTCTCTTAATAACTTGATTTTGATAACAAGGTGTGTAATTTTTGTTCTTTATACTTTTAAAAATTCTTCCTAGTGTTGGTTAGTTCACCAATTTACATTTTATAAACAGATTGAATAAATTTTTTATACAAATAATACCTTGTATTTACAAAACATTGTTCCCCAAGGTTCTTAGCTTTCATAATCCCATCCAGTCTTCTATGCCGGATTCTAAACCCAACAAGCAAACATCACAAATGACATTGTGGCTACAGCTAAAAGTAAAAGCATAATTTGGAGAAAATAAACCACCTTTTTTTCCCTGATATGCCTGAAAGCCTCCAACAATAAGGTGTAGCAAGTGTAAATTAAATTATTTTAGAAGAATATTGGTTCTCTAAATTCACTGCAGCAGTAACTCGATAAAAGTGTTCTACTGAATAAAGAATTATGATATATAGTGGGAAATAACACAACTAAATTTAAGAAGTTGCAAGTAAATTGTCTTGCTGATATGATTGAGCTTAATACCCACTGCTGAAACTACTTTAACCTC